TTATTTAGATTTATAATAAAAGAAGAAGATAATTTTAATAAAAGTTAATCAATAAAAGAAGATTACTTAATAATTAAACTATTTAAATCAAAAGAAGATTTCTGAACTCATTCTAGCAGTTCAACAAAATGAACATATTGTTACCTACCTTTATTAAATTAGTCTCTCCCAACTTTAATTACTTTAAATACATAAAAGTCTTTAATAATTCTCCCACTTGATTGAGACACATGAAGAACATGTGATCTATACTTCAAAGTTAATAAACCAATGAAAATGGTAACAGTATGATATATCTTTAGCATACTTATATCTTTTAATATTTAATAGTACTGAACAAGTATATTATAATTCTGAGAATCAAATCAACATGAGAGTACAAGTTCTCTGTGAATTTTTTATCAGTTTTCAAAAAATAGACCTACTATTAGTATTTTGTCTAGTTGATAAAAATATTAGAAAGATTTTAACTGTAAGTGAAACATGATTAAATATCACTAATCTTTAGCTATATTATTGATATCTTGAGTATATTATTAACAAATAGTTAAAGGACAAAAAATCAAAAGCAAGTGCATATATTGTAGCAAAAGCTTTAGAAATTCACAAACAATTTGATTTTATTGATCCTTCCTGAATACTGAATCAAAATATTAAAAATCTATGTCCAAAAGATTTTATTAAAGAACTCTTGAACACAGTAAAAAGATATATGAATATATATTCACTCATATCAATAATCAAGAATATTTTTGAAGTTCTATTAAAATCTATCAAAGTTGTATGAAGAAAATTTATCAATTTTGCTATAGCTATAATTTTGCTAAATTGTGAAAGTATCTGTGGATAAACTGATACAATAAAAAAGATTGAAAGCTTTTTTCTTGATCAGCATATTCAACTATCATATTATTAACATGAATCATTATGATTATAAAAAGTTATTAATGAGTTCTTAAATATAATTATAATTGATTACATCTGAACTGTCTTATCCAGATTCTTATAAAATAATTAATATTTGATTTTAACCTCAAAATGAATCAATTTAAAGAAAATCAAATATTTTCATTATGATATAATAGATTAAAGAAAAGCAGTAACCATGAAAATTCAGCCTGATGTGAATGAAATCTATTATGTTGACATAAATAACTAGATGTATTCTTGTCCAGCATATCTTCATAGTCATTATCTTATTTACAAGTATCTTGTTACAAAGAAGAATAATATTCATTTTCAGCCTATCTTTTCAGAAATAACATATCAGTATGATTATTCTTTACTTACTTTTGAAAAAGATAAAGTACTAGTGATCAATTCAATAAATAATTTCTGATCTCGATATAGGATGAATAATCTTGATAGAGAAGTGATAACTTACAAGATGCATTAATAATTGATTTTGTTGAAGAAGAGAGCTTGAGTATTATCAACTTATCAATAACTATAAAATATAATACAATTAATAAAAGATAAGAAAAGATTACTTCTTATAAAAAAACTATGAAAATTGTGTGTTTTATATGAATGAGAAATAGATAATAATCACTTTGTAGATATCTTTGATAGCTTGTTAAAACCAGTAATAAAAGTAATTAATGAGTGCTAGAAGATATTACAAGCTTATAGTTAACAAGGAATTGAAAAATTAAAAGAAAAAAACTTGCATTTTGATTATATTAATTCTTTAAAAAAAAGAAATATATTATAAAATAATAAATAATAAAATTTGTTAAATTCAAGTTATTTAGCATAATTTTTATTATAGTAAAGCTAATAATAAAACTATTATTTTCTTGTTAAGTTGTAAAGATAAAATTTTATTGGCTAATTAAAGATCTGCAAATTATGTCATTATATCAGTATCAGTCGTAATAACGTGATACAGCCGAGTGTTGGATATTGGTCGGAAAATCACGTGATTGACATTTTTTTTGCCGTTGCTTGCTAGAATACTACTTTTCGCATTGTTAACGTCATCAAAAAATTATCACGTGGCCCGAACTTTTGAGGGTCGTCCTGGTGGATTCATTTTATTGGTTCCAATCCCAAAATTATAAAGTCGAATGCATATTTAAAATTTTGAAACAAGTGGTTGTCTTTTGCTTGTATGTTCTATATATATAGCAAACAAAAGCATAATATATAGTAAAATTCGCAAGAAACATTTTGTTAGAACACAAATGATCCATAAATAAAATTTAAGATACAAGCTATTTTTTCAAAAGTAAGCGTTTGTCGGCATCGATATCGAAATCACATGATCAGACACTTTTTTCGTTATCCTTCCAAGACAAAATTAGGTCATATGCTATTTGATAAGTGACTAAATTTTAATATTAAAATAAGATCATTTAGTAGGTCACTGTTATCTTTCGTAATTCACGTGACTTCTATACAACTGTAAATTATTTTCCAAAAAGCGTTTTAATATCAAAGAAGTGACTTATAGTTATTAGTTATCACATAAATCCTAAAGGCTGCAGTACTTCTTTCCCCAGACACGGTGCCATTAGTAATTTAGGCGTTTAAACAATAAAGGAACTAATCAGCAACTAAAATTCTTGAATATTTAGGTTATATATGGATTATATAGCGTCTCACTACACAATTCAGTCACCCAAGAAATTTTATATGGAAATTGTATAATTATTACTCATTTTCGTACCACAGAATTAACCTCAAGTACTACACACACAAGTAAAAACCGCTACAGAACTGAAACCAAATCATCTGTTATCTTCTTCCTAAAACACGTCTTATACGCAATTACAATTAGAGTTTAATCAGATTAAAAGATTAGGTATTAATTAAATTAAATTAATCTTTCACGTGGCGTTCATAGTTCACCGAAAATAAAAATACACTTGCCACCCATTCACCTTTTATTTTTCTGCTTCATGAAATCAATTATTATAGTACAACAAATCAGCGACGACAATAAACTACCACTAATATCAATATAATTGAAATGGACATGTCGTTACCACCTTCCTCTTCATATAATGGAAATAACAACCGCGCTGGTGTTCGTTTCACTTATGGCCAAACTAGAACAATACTTAGTCAAGATTTCGATTCTCTTCTTACAGATTCTTACTCACCCTCGAAATACGATGACGACAGTGAGATGGAGATAGAGTTGGTATGCACTTTCTTCTAATCTCGGTACATCCCATTGATTTTATTATTTCTTATTTATATACTCTTTTCAACAGGAATCGAAAAGGAAAAGCTTCAAAAGTATTCATGAACTTCGAGAACAGGGCGAAAACAAGCGATTCACTGACGAGATAGAATATATTCTCGATGGTATTCGAGAAGCGCAACCAGTGAATGTGCGTAGAGCTAGGTAAGAAGAATTCTTTAATTATAAATCTACGATTTCTTCTTACACACACATTAATTTGTTTTATGGCTCTTTCGACATTGTTATAGTGTGCTCGTGCTCGCTCAAAAACTGCTAAAGACCGAGTTTATGACAAAAATTCGATCTCACCATTATATCCCGAAGCTATACGATACTCTAGTAACACAGGATGATACCGTAGACTATTTTTTATTCAGCTTATTTATACTTGCTAAAAACTAGAAATCGTTGATTTTCACACAAACTTTACTTGTTTTTAACTTTCACAGATTGTCAGATGTTGCTTTGCATTTGTTGTTTGTCTAATGATCGAAGATCGACGTAATTCTGAATTTTTCGCTGGAAAGGCGGAATTTACAAGATTGGTCACTGAATTTTTGACATTCCAGTCTGATCCATTACGTGAAGATCTTTCAAAGTCATCTTGGAAAAAGACTGAAAAGTCACTGGTAAAAAGAATCAGTGCATTATTCCGACTTTTTTATTATCGTTACTAATATGTATCAATAAAATTTCACGAAATAGATTGGTGAGTTGAAAGAAATCATTTGTCGTTCTGATATCTTTTCAGACAAGAAAGAGGTAAATTTATTGAAAATCTTTTAGTATTTTATTTCACCATGTATTTTTATTAATACGAATACAATTTGCAAAAAAAAGATTTCACTGAAATCCATTGCGTTGCGATCCTTGTCGTCTTTAATATCCTACAAGACAAAATACGAAGATGTCATAAAAAAGAGAATAAGAGCATGTGATGGTCTATCGATAGTGGCGCGTATTCTAAAAGACGAACTTGTACCAGTCAAAAAATTGTTACTCGCCTTTGAAAAGGGGAAAACATCAAAAATAAAACAGAAGTTGTTACTGAACTTTGAACGTGTTGAGCAATGTCTTGGAATATTGGAAAATGTCACGGCCTTTTGTCCCGAGAATCAGCTCATAATCGTGAATCACGAAAAAGACATTCTTCCAATGTTACTAGAATTTTTGCTTTACTGTCACCTTGAATCGTGCGACTCAAATGCGGAAAATCCATCGATAGGTATGTTTTGTGTTAATTTTTTGAATTGCTATTATTTTTTGTATTTTTTATAAGTTTCATTGCTTATATCTATATAGCTTTAGAATGTCTTCTCGGATGCCTTCGTGTTCTAATAAATCTAACTCATGACAATCAGCAATGTTGTCGGGACGTGGGTAAATCACCTGGAATGGTGATTCTAATGCGTCTGGCGACTGTAGGACAACTTCCGTCTAGACAATCAATAAATTATAACAAGATTAATACGGAAAAGGAAGAAGGGATAGAAGAAAGTGTTGAGGCTACGAAATTTGATGTGCTTTTATTGAGTATCGGGTTACTTATTAATTTGGTAGAAATAGATTCCGGCAATCAAGATGAGTTTCGGAAAATTGGTAAGTGATCATAATTCTTTGCCAAATCATTAAATTATACTACTACTATTGTTTTTTCTAAATGATCAACTTTTTCAAAAGAACAAAATCCAAATTGTCCTGGTACACGTAGTTGTTTACGACTTTGCACCTGTTCTTCTCGCAAGTCGGCAGTATCGTGCCTAGTTTCATTATACAACCATCAGATTGAAAAAGGGGATGATAAGGTTTTTTTTGTTCAATTCAAAATCAAATAAATATTTTTCACATAATGTATACTGACAAACTTTTCTTAATCAAATAGACCGACAGCAACATCGTCGCTGCATATATGGCCATATTGATTGGTCTACTTATCAAGGACAATAAAGCCAATCAAGAATTAGTACTTGATATCCTTTTTATTCTTCTACTTGTTTCTTGCTATAGATAAAGAATTGTTAACATCCAAATATTATTAGTTCTTAACCAATCATTATTATCTTTGAATACAGCGACTACCCGGAAACTCTGTCCAATCGCTCATCAACCTTTTACAAGACTTTGTAAAATTCCACGAATTAGTAGGAGGCGAAGCATCCACAATTGGAAATAGCGGACAAAATTCCGTGGACTTGGATGCATTTTTGGATGATGATGATAATCATCATAGTAGTGGTGGAATCACTGGTGTTGCTGCTAGTGGTGGCGGTAATGTGATGCTACAACGATCTCCGCAAAATCAGCAACAGCAATCAAATGGACGCAATATCGGAGACTCGTTTCTTGAAATTGTAGATAGTTTGAAAGCATTCGAACAGAAACGGTTGGGCGGTGTGTCAAACAGTTAATGATTACTAACAACTTAAACATTATCGAATTTTCCTCTATTGGATATTTTTCTCTTTGGTAAATTTAAAAGAATTTTTTTTCTTGTTAAAATCTAATTGGTCATTGAGGACTTTGGGTAAGGTTACGTCTTTTATTTGTTCAAAAATTATTCATTATTCATCGCTCGACTTTTACTAACATTTTTTTCTTTTCATAATAGGGTTGTAATTATCTGCGTACTTACATATTACACATATACACGTACATATATATATATTTCTATACATATCATCCACCTCCTTTCTTTGTATTTAGTTTCAAATTCTTTCCCATTACAAGAAAAATTATCGTTCGTTCTTTCTCTTGGTTATATATTACCTAACATCATATACACTCACAACCTACGATGCACAAAAATTTATAATAATCATTTAGTCGGTCGGTTAGTGATAGCTAGTGAGGGATCGAACGAACGGTCAAATAAGAATAATATGTATATACTTTTATATAGATACATACTACATATATATATATAGTTTTGAGAATTTACTTTATATATGTGGTTTTTTGTGTTGGCTTTTTTCTTGTGTATTTTAATCACCATCTATAACGTATATATATATATATTTAGTTTATTGTTGAATAAAACTGAATTACATTTACATTGATTACACGTAAAAAAATCAAGTGGTTCATACAAAAAGATTGTACCCTACACTAGTCTAGTGATTGGACTCACTCGAGTTGACTCGAGTCAAAACGAGTTGATTCGAGTCCAATCACTATGTTAGGGTTTCGGTCAACCCAACATTTATACTAGCATGGCAGTTTGAGCTTATACGCAATTTTGGATGTCTTTCAAGCGCTCGCACTATATATATTTGGGCCCTTATATGTAATATTTTCCAAATCTCGGTCCCTTGTATGTAATTATTTTATTTTGGGCCCTTATCCGTAATTATTTTCATTTTTGGGACCTTATATGCTTACGGTAAAAAAGTGGAACAGCTACGACTCTTTTGCCTTTTGTCCTCGAGGATCAAAATTTGATATTGAGGCTTACGATTGTGTTACCTTTTTTTAAAGATGATTGGCTGAATATTCTGAATATTTTATGGTGACTCGATTAAAACGATCGAAACCAAGAAAATGAACTTTGCAAGAACACTTTGTCCACGAATTAGTTCTCTAACAGCGCGAAAAAACTCAATAGTCTCACACATATGCACACCAAAGTGGCCGCTCTCATACATTACAAAACGAAATTTACACAATTCCTTGCCGAGTCAGTCGGATAAACTATTCATCGTGTGTATTTATTTTCGATTAACTCAAAATTCATTCTCTCCCTCAGTACTGTTGTCAAATCGTCAAATTAACTGGTTTGAACATGATAATTGTGTATACTTGTTTAAAAAAGCATCGAGATACTCCCGAAAATAATGCTTCGATCCCGTTTGAGTTCACACCCGAGAACCTAAAACGCGCTGAAACGATAATTGCCAAATACCCACCACAATACAAAAAAGCTGCTGTAATACCGTTACTTCATTTAGCGCAACGACAATTCGGCTGGACCAGTATATCTGTGATGAATTATGTGGCAAAGTTACTTGAAATGCCAGAAATGAGAGTATATGAGGTTGCTACGTTTTATACAATGTTTAACAGGTAAACAAGAAATGAATCTTTATCGATTTGATCCCAAAAAATTAATAAAGATTAATTAATACTTAGGGAACCGGTTGGCAAATATTTGCTTCAACTCTGCACCACCACACCATGCCAATTATGTGGATCAACTAAAATTTTAGAAACTATCGAGGACCATCTGGGTATTAAAGTTGGACAGACGACGACTGATAATCTTTTTACATTAGTTGAAGTGGAATGTGCGGGTGCTTGTGTAAACGCTCCGGTGTTAGCTGTGAATGATGATTACTATGTAGGTTTTATGTTATTTATAGCGAAAATATTCATGATTCTATTATATAAATAAATTATTATTAAAACTAATAGGAAGATCTCACTGAAGAAACAATAATTAAAATCCTCGATTCACTAAAAAATGGAGATATACCTAAACCTGGACCACAGACTGGACGACATACATGTGAACCAAAGAGTGGATTAACTTCACTTTCTACTGAACCGTATGGACCAGGTTTTGAGGTTAGACCTGATCTATAAATTAAAAATTTATTTATCAGACGAGAATAGATTAATATTTCATCGGCTCTTCTCTAATGAATACAATTAATGTCTGTATATAACCAATAATGGCTCTTGAACCCAAACAGAGTGTGATAAATATATTTTTTATAAAATGAAGCTTGTCATTCCTTGTAATAAAAATTTAACTTGTGAATCGACTCATATA